TCCAGACCCCTTGCCCAGAGCAGGTGGAGGGCCAGCAACTGCCCGCGAGGCTTTTATTCTGGCCTGGTGTGGGGGTGAGTTATGGGGGTCAAAGAACCCCAGCTGGGCTATGGTAACAGCCACACAGGCAGTTGGGGGGGGCCTCAGACCTTTCCCCTGCCCTGGGTGTGGGGAGCAGGGACCAGGCTGCTCACAGGGCTCCCCAACCTGGCTCCCAGGTTTGGGGGGAAAGGAGGGGTGGAGTGGGGGGCCACAGGGGTGGGGATTGTCTCCCCCTCCTCCCATGATTAGAAAGACTCAGGGGAACAGAGACCCGCAACACTGGGGCTCTCGCAGCCGGCGATCACTCGGAACCTGTCTGCATTCGAACCGCCCGGTGCCCTCTTCTCCTAGGCGGGGAGTGGGTTTTACAGCCATGGTTTGCTGGTTCTTCCACTCCCAAAAGAGCTCTCCCTGCACTTCGCTTCTGAGCTTTCCTGTCCATTCACCTCTTTAACCATGTTGACATCACTTTCCTACGCGTATGCACCTGTAGACTCCGGGACTTTGAACCCCCTACCAGAAAAGCACAGAACAGAACTGCCCAAAATGCAGCCCAGGGGAGCCCCCTCGGCTGCAGCCTGTGGAATCCTAGGTCCCAGCATGCAATGCTCTGTCTTGCTCCCAGTGGCTATAGCAGACGCTGCAGGATATCGCCTTCCTGAGTCAGAGGGCAGGGCTGTCATCTCCGGTTCAGGCCGTTGTGGGTCTCCCGTGACTGCACAGAGTTCAGCTCCGGGATAGAGGCTGTGGTGGCTGAAGAGCTTTAGGGCTAAGGCCAGGTCTGCACTAAAGGGGAAGGTCGAACCAAGATACGCGACTCCAGGCATGTTCAGTACGGAGCTGGAGTCAACGGACCTTGTTTCGAGTTTCCCCACTGTGGGAGACCGACAAGAGCAAACCCTCCCGTCGGCTTCTCTTACTCCTGGCAGAGGCAGGAGTACCAGCGCCGATGGGGGCACCCTCTGAGTTTGTGGGTCTTCACTAAATCAATACGGATACGAATTTCTCTTCCACCGCTCTGTGCTGCGGGCCTGGCGCCACACCTAGGCGCTGCAGGCAGCCTGCGAGAGACGTCAGCGCCTCGGCCGCGTGCTGAGTTTCACCCCAAGTCGGTTCTGCTCTGAGACTCGGTGACGCCCTCCCGATGCTCCATGTTCAGCTGTGCTCAGTAGGGCTGTAGCAAGTCGTTTACAAAGGTAACCGGGTAGCTGCTAAAAGCCGTAGCGGTTCCGTGCACTGCGGGCTCTGGGAGAGTGACTATTTAACATATAAGCTTAGCTTTATCCCGCAGAGCCAGCAGGGGAGGGAGGAGGGGGGAGTCATGCTGAGCCTGGCAC